TATAGACCCAGATGGAGTGTGCATCTGTTAATGCTCGAGGAGCTATTGCCTTGCCAAACCCTTTTGGTGTTTGAACGCGTATATGTTCAGCACGACATGCTGACACGGTATGTAATGCAACCTTTCACGTGTTCAGATACCATGGAGCCGTGGCTTGCTTAAATAATCTTCCCAAGACATTTCGAAGGAACGGGAAAGGGCACGGTAAGCCCTCGCAGAGTAAATCCTGTATAATAAGTTTATGTGTTATGCTTATTAGCCGAATCAGAACGCTACTGTGTGGTAGGCACTTTGACGGTTAGAGCTATTATGCTTTGTCTACGCATTTGCAGGTCAAACTCAAAGATCTGGTCCTGCATCGGTGTACTAAAGGCGTTCATATGCCATGAAGCCAAGGCCTGTTGAAGTGATCGCTGAGGCGTCTACAAGAAAAGGAACAGACAGTACAAATACACAGTAAAATGCACTGAGAACAAAAGATATTGTTCCTTATTCCACGATTGTGGCGACCGGCTCAGAATCATAGGGTCATCCATCAGTGGTACATCAGAAAGCGTAGACGTTCCGTTCAGTATCATGTATTTCACCAACATTAATCAGCATTTATAAATATTCGAAAAGTACATTAGGGGATGAAAGAGCATATCGAACTTATTATATACATATTTTGCAACGTTTCGGATTATGCTCGATCTGTCTTAACAAGACACATGGTATAAAACAGAAAATTGAACAGAACATTTACAACAAGGCAAAAACTGACTAATTGGCCCATTCATTCTTCGAAGTTTGTAGTAGTCTCTTTCCTCGCTGCCGATGGCTAAGTTTACTAAGTAATCTGATGACAAACTAAATTGCTCGTGGCGTTTGCTGGATTTTGGAACCAAGCAAGAATTTCATATTTTGCTGCGTTTTTTATTGTCATGAAAATGTTTTATCATTTCTTGCTTCTTTGTGCCATTTGAAAAAAGTCGGCCGAACCGAGGCACATGGTTTTTAAACGAATCGGCAACGCGAAGAACTGAGGAAAGCGTAAAACCGAGCGACCACAGTCCCGAAGATGAACACGCAGCGGACAATTGTCGGCGGAGCCAAGCACTTAAGTCGAGGCAAAAAATCGTTAAGCACTTTTCGATCATCAACTCGCTCCTCATTGTCCCGCTTGATGGCCATGCTGCCCCTGCAGCTGAACGATGAGGACACTCGTCGCCAGCTGCAAATGGGCCCGAGTGAATGGAAGCCATTCATCCCTCACTCGTCGCCTGCTGACGGCTGTCGCTGGCATCATGTCCGTGTTCGACGATCGATCTCTTGAGCAGCAGAGCTTGAAGAACGAAGACGACGACGACACGACATGTTACAGAAAAGAATAAGGTAAAATGTACCGCCACACTGCAATCTAATGAGCCAGTGCACGCTTCCACCCTTCGCAGGGTCATTCACTCAACCGCTCTCATAACGGCTGAGGCACAACTCTGCAAATCAAAGTACCACTCTTCACTATGCACTCAAAGTATTACGTTCGTACAGGTACCTCATAAGGTAAAATTTAAGGACAAGTGGATATTCACTCATTAATAAGACCATCAGGTACTAGTCTCATGCACATTTCGTCTCTGAAAACACATTTTCGTTGAAACAGAAAGCCACCAAATGAATCTATTCGCCATGTCAATTCTTGATCCTCGAAATTCTCTTGGAGGATGTCGACTGACATGGTCGTAAACGTTATCGATGGCTAAATAGCTTCGTATAATTGCCCAAATGGTTCCACATAGACGCGGTCATTCGTCCAAGTAATGCAAAACAGCTAAAGACGAGTAGGCGTCGTTCACAAAGCAAATTCTTTTTAGCAATCGTAAATCGAGAACGGGCAAATCAGATTCACATTTAACTTCAAGAACCAGTAAAAAGCGATATTTGGATGATGGTATAATTCAGAATAGTGTTTCCTCATAAGCATTTTTGCCTGATTTGGCAAAACTGCACGATGCTTATGACATGTGACCTATACTTGGCAATTCGCATTTTCACACCAGGGGTATTTATTGCATTGACGAACAGAAAGTTAATTGTTCCAAATCGACAACAGCCATGAGCTTAGTTTCTCGAGCCACTTGCCAAACGATTACCCTTCGTCACTCATGACTGAGAGATTAGCAGCTGAGAAGTCGTCGATCCTAGGCTGCACCTCATATCAGTCCACTGTGTTAGAACACTTCAGATTTACCCATGAAATCGGTCAACTCAAAGACGTAGTCACTATTGATACAGCAAGATGATTCGCATTCAGTAAGCCTCGCAATGAGCGCTACTGTGGGTCATGTGAGCACTGGACAACTGCATTGATGGACTGGTAATTGAAATAACTTTTTAGGGAACTATTGCTCTTAGCAGGAACTGCTAAGAATGAAAGTTTTCAGTACGACAAACCATGTTAGAGAGTCAATTAAGCCAATGAATTACTGTAACAATTTGAACTCCCTGCATACCCTGACTGTAGTAACATTAAGCTATCTGCAACCACTGTAACAGCGATTGGCAGATGCACCGAAGGAGAATTCCAATTCAAGTACTTTCCCTCTTTCAACGATGAAGGAAGTTGCGGTATGGAGATCTTTCGAACTTCCGCCAGGTATCTCTATTGGGTAATCTATTATTGGGTTATCTAAATACAGACAGATAATGAACGTATTCGGATGACCATTGGTCAAGGCGATCGGATCGGAATTGTCTATGTAGTGCGACGATGGACATGAGAAACAAAACCCGGCCATGAATGACAATTCGACCGTAGCCATCCATCGGTCGTCTCGTTTTCATCGATCGGTGGTCTGATTTTCGTTGGGGACAGTGCTGTGCTTGTCAAATACAGTTTGTCACATGAAAGATGACCGACTAATGATAAATGGTCGTCTTCCGCTGACCACTGTCAAAGGCTATCGGTCGCCTGTGCCGTGCGACGTCGGATACGACATCCATAACACGGTTCTGAATGAGCGCTTGACCGCCGGTCGATGAAGATGAGTTGACGGATGGACGACGATGGTCGCCGATCTTAATGGCCGCAGTGGTCGACGTGGGGACCAGGCGATTCGTAACGAGATACATTGCAAATCAGCCAAAGGACTGGCAAAGACGTTGAAACGCCAATCATAATCGCTAAACGAAACTGAATTACGCCGCCAGCGGTGGTTCTTTCACTCGTTCGCCTCATACATCGGTTCTTTTGGACACCAGAAATCAATGGGTGGCACGGATCGATGACGGCAACCGAGGGTTGAGAGGAAGAAAAAGCGCCTCCACGACCGACGTGTGGTGATTAGTTGCACTGGGGCGAGGCATGCGCAACAAACGCATCTTAGCGATATTCGATAAAGCGGTCGGAGGCGAGAATCGAAACGAGTTTTAAAGACCCCTGTTCACTCAATTGCCCTCCTGATAGGTAGTTGGTTAATTAGCCAATTAACTGTTGCCGGAAGTGTATGCTAATTCGACGCCTACGAGGTGGAGGCGAGACTAGTGGCAGCACCGCAGACTACGTATCCGTACTCGCTATTCGAAGGGACAAGGGATGAAATGGCCGGTAACCGTGCCAGGGATAGCAATGCGACTACGGATAACGCAGATCTAGTCGGTGCTCGAAAGAGCCGTTGTTCATTCCATGTCAGATATGCCATTCTGCATTACATGACGATCATACACATAATGGTAAACAAATGCTCGTGTTTAGCATTCGGTTACTGACGAGTGATCCGGCACTATCGACCATACGACCATAACTCTGTGCCATTAACTGAGATGCGGATTTGGTGTGACATCGAAAATTGACTGCTCGACGAATGATTCGAACAACGACAAAGCGCAGCCGCAGAATTCGAACGAACCTGAAATCCTTGATCGACCTTAGGATTCACCGTGGCATTCTGGGATCTGACTGAATGATTATTCAATGACACCTTGGGCTTGCAACGTCAGTGTTGTTCTCAGACTTTTTTTAGCGGTATTTTTTTAAAAACATCTTTTCTTCTCTACACATGTGCATGTTCTAGAATTGTCTAGACCGTCGAGTACCGTTTTGTGGGAAAAAAACGGGGGAATACAAACTACGCCTGTTGCACAGATTCTCACTCGTTATCTGGTGGCATACATAGACACATAGATCAACGCCACGCCCCAAACTTCATGAAACGAAAAGCTCCCAAATGACAATCAACGATGAAAATATGAGGGAAATCGACATCCAAACGGCTACGAACTTACCTTTATCCTTCATTTTCGACCATATGATTTAACGGTTCCAACCGGCTTAAGTAAAATGAGTCCATAATCCATGTTCAACTTTGTTTTTCTCCGCTATCTTTACCCGGTTCCGTGTTTGTTTTCAGCAATAATTGTTAGAACCCCTATAAAACAAGACTAATTTAAAACCGATGGAAACAAGGTCAAAAGTCGTGGTAGTAAAAATTTTGTCTGAGGTCGAAAAAAGCGCAAACCTGAAAACCGAAGCATGAACACGGCGCCAAATACCCTATGAAAAACAGGCCATACCTTTTGCATACGCTCCAACAGTTTTATTTAATTGACAAAAAGATTTGCACTAGAGAACAAGTGAAACATACAAAGCAAAATGTGCCAGAGAGCGAAGCGTCCTTGAAACTGGTGCACTACGTCGTATAAAGGAACAAAAGGAGATACTGCACCAAGATTTTGTAAATCAAAATTTTCGAATTGCCTTGAGTGTTGATACTCATTCATATCAAGTGCACGATGAGAATTAGGCAAGGCAAGGTTTTTCAACTTCATCGAGTCATCTGATCCTCGGTTTGACAAGAACGAGTCGTTCAAAATAATTGTTGCAGATAGTATCTTGAATTACACTTCATACATTGGTACATAAAAAATGGTTTATCACAAGGATAACAGATTAGGTTATCCTACGATAAACC